TCTTAAGTGCTTGGAATGACCGGCGTGCGTCGTCATCGAATATGAATGGCACCTTTGGCGACTGTAACCTCGTCATAGGTGCAGCAATCCTGGAGTATCCGGTGATGAATCGATGATAGTAGCCCGCCAACCCCATGAATGAACGAACGTCCGTGGTGTTGGTGGGCTCGGGCCATACTCGTAGGGCCTCGATCTTGTCCGCAAGCGGACGGATGCCTTGCGGCGTCACATAGAGTCCCAAGTACTCCAGCTCCTGCTGTGCGAACTCGCACTTGTCACGGTTTGCTTTGTACTTGGCCTGTCGTAGCCGCTCCAAAACGGTGCGCAGGTGTTCCACATGCTCGTCCAGACTCCGGCTGTAAACCAGAATGTCGTCGAGGTAGATAAGTACGAAACGATCCAGCATGTGTCGAAACTCCGTCGTCATAGCCGCTTGGAAAGTGGCTGGGGCATTCGTAAGGCCAAATGGCATGACCAGCCATTCGAAATGCCCATACCGTGTCTTGAACGTAGTCTTGTAGCGATCCTCCTTGCGAATCTCGAGTTGGTGGTACCCTGACTTGAGATCCAGCTTAGAGAAGAACTGGGCGCCGCCCAATTGCTCGAGAAGGTCGTCGATGCGTGGGAGAGGGCCGGCATTCCTGATCGTCTGCGCGTTGAGCTTGCGATAATCCATGCACAACCGCAGGTCCTTGTTCTTCTTTCGGACGAAGAGAACAGGAGCACCGTATGGCGATGAGCTAGGCCGAATCCAGCCTTTCTGCAGAGGTCCGTCGAGTTGTGCCCGAAGCACACTTAACTCTTCCTCGCTCATTCGGTAGATGCAACCGCGCGGAGGTACGGCCCCGTCCTCGAGGATGATCTCGTGGCAGATGGGTCGATCCGGTACTACTCTGTGCGGGCCTTCGAACACGTCGCTGTAGGCGTGGAGAAGTTCGGTGATGCGTGGATCCGAAGGTGAGTCCGTCGATGAAGCGTCATGTGGCGGGAGGACGTGGAGAAAACACACCCCCATCTCCTCGATGTCGTCTTTGATGATGGAAGCTCGCATGCTTGCGGCGGATACCACATGGCAGCTGATCGAAGGATGAGGAAGAGGCACCGTGCATGGAACTAATACTCCGTTCCGATCACGAACGTGAACGGTGCGGTTGAAGAAGTTCACCGGGTGATCCTTGCTTCGCAGCCATGACATGCCCAAGATCATATCGAATTTGGTGTCTAGAATGTCAAAGGACACCGCCTCACTTGCGTGAGGGGCAAAGTACACTGGGACGGCGTCAATGCACCGGTCGATGGACTTAAGCGTATGACCGTCTGCCAGAGTGACTTGCGTAGGCTGGGACTTCCTCCGGACACGTGGGCCAAGGCCAGCGCGTACCATGAAGTCCTGGCTGATGTAGTTGCGAGATGCTCCGCAATCGATCAAGGCACTGCAGGTCGCCTCTCTGATCTGAATGCGTACGTATAGTAATGGTGCGTCGATGTCGTCGTACCGTTGCATCTTGAACTCGCTGTCGATCTTCGCGATGTAAACGTGAAGGTCGACAACCTCTACTCCGGCGTCCATCAACGGAGCTGGAACTGCAGTGTGCAAGTAGTCCCACAATTGTGCCATAAGCAAGTTGCAATGCGGTTTCGGCAATCGTCCGGTCGAGGGAACGGGCATCCACTGGAAGTCCGTGAACGTCAACGGGTCGAGCTCATCAAGTCTTGACCATGACGTCGAATCCCCGACGATAGATTGCGGCGAAGCTGCCGAATCGGTTGCCGATGGTGATGAAACCGTGCATGCGGTGGACTGTTGCACGTGGAGCGGTTSGTCCAGCGGTGGAACCAAGTGGACAGCATAATCCTCGTAAGTATACCGAGGACTTGTGACATTCGCATCCTCCCTAGATGTGCAGGAGGCCGCTAGCAAGGCGGCCGAATCTGGCGGAGTAGAAGGTGGAGTCGCCTCACCTTCCACGGAGCTCAGTTTCCCGAGCTGAGGCGGAGTCGCACATCCTCCTTGCCCTAATCTTGGCACAGGGAGGTCTTGTGCTTGGTGCTGTTGAACCAATAGCAGCTGCCATAGCGGCCGCGGACCTTGTACTCCGCCTCGGTCAAGCCAAACTTGACCCATGGAAACTGTCCTGGCTGTCCATTTCCGGCCTGCGATGCGGATTTCGCCTTCCCATTGTGGCGGGACTTGTTGGTGCTTCGCGGCTGGACAGCRGCCACCTGATCTCCGTCACTTGATGCTGGAGTGGCTGCTGGGTTATCTCCACTGTCCTGCTGGACTGCAGCGAAGTGCTGCTGTCGCGGACCAGTTCGTACCTTCTCCACATAGGTCGGCTGCCATGATGTTGATTTCTCGTGTGCAGCTGACCTGTTTGTCTTGATGATCTCCCTCGCTTTGTCAATGATCTCCATGAAGGTAGTACTGCTCGCGATCACCAAGAGCTTGACTCAATGCAACACAGGACCTGTTGTAGAACTCACGGCGTAGATGCTCGAATGGTAAGTTCAGATTGGGCACAACCGCAATCTTCTGCCACTCCGTGAGCCAGTCCCGTGTTGCAGTGTTGTCCTGTGACATGGTGAACAGTCGGTTGATGGCGAGTGTTGGCGCGTCGTCGACGATGAACCGCTTCTTCCACAACCGTGTCAGTTCCTCCCATGTGATTACGTCCTTCAAGTCTGGTACGTCGACGACGTGGGAGGTTGCCAGGTGGGTCAACCAGGTCTGGCATCCACCCTTTGAGTTCAGGAACAGGGCGTCGATGTACGCATGCTTGTCTACGGGCAGAATCCTGAGTTGCGTTGTAAATGCTTCCCACCAGAGGACCGGATCCTGCTGCGTGTAGTCGTCGAACCTCTCCAGAGTGAACGTTGGCATCTTATACATCTTCGGATTGCCATTTGCGTTCGTCGTCTGTAGCTGCTGGACCTCGGTCTTCAATGTATGCAGCTGACTGCTGATGTTGGTGGTCGGCGCAGCGAAAGTGCTGATGTCGCCGAGCATTGCCACTACGTGGTCAACGAGGTCCTCCAGTTGGCGGCTAGAGGGTGCACTGCTGGAAGACCCAGCAGCTGGTCCTGGTACAACTTGTTCCAGGTCCAACAATCGGGCATTGAGTGCCCGAGTTGCATCCTCGTGGCCCTGCACTATGCGGCGGAGCGTCGCCAACTCCTGATGCTGTTGCGTCAGGTCCCGGTACTGTCTCTCCAACTCTGACCGTTGGTAGTTGCAAGCATACAACAACCGCGTCAAGAGTTTGGAGAGGAACTCCTTGTGCTTCTCTTCCGGTGTTGCCTCGTCGCCGTTCGGTTCAAAATGCCAGTACTTGAGTCTGTCGATGCTGTTGGTTTCATGCCGCAGCAGCAGATCCTGGGCTTCCTTGCGGCGAGCCTGGGCATCTGCGTCTAGCCGCAGCTGTTCTGCTTCTGCTGCCTCTTCAGCCTGTACGCGGGCAGCCTCGGCTGCCAGCAGGCGTTGTTCCTCAGACTCAATCTGAGCGTGGAAACGCCGCTTGTAGGTGGCAAGGGACTCGTTGGGCAGTTGCCCTGGCAGGCCCGTCATGTTGCTGACGTGGCACTGCTGAAGTGGCACTTTGTCTGACGTGGCACTGTGTCTGACGTGGCACTGCTGATGTGGCACTGCTTACGTGGCACTGTGTCTGACGTGGCACTGCTGATGTGGCACTGCTTACGTGGCACTGCCTGACGTGGCACTGCCTGACGTGGCACTGCTGATGTGGCACTGCTTACGTGGCACTGTCTGACGTGGCACTGTGACCTGAAACTGCTGACGTGGCACTGCTGATCTGGCACTGTGACCTGGCACTATGACGTGGCACTGCTGATCTGGCACTGTGACGTGGCACTGCTGATGTGGCACTGCTGACGTGGCACTGCTGACGTGGCACTGTACCGAACCGGGATGCATGCAAGGGGTGGGTGGGAGGGAAAACGTAGGTAGGTAACCAACCCAACA